ATTGCCCATCTACCCTGGCAGATCAAGCACCTATTCACATCTACCCTGTCAGAATCAGCACACATTTCCCAGTGTACCCGTGCAGGACTACTTATTCCGCTCAATTCTCATCTACCACTGCAGATCAGTCACGTATTCCCAGTCTACTCCTGCATTTAGACCATTCATCTTTTACCGGTACTTACTGTCCACTCTACCCTGAGCAGGACGACCCCTCCATGCTCACCTCGCGCACGCCCAGCAGTGCGTGAATGTTACGTCGCGTTCCTTCTCCTTCTCCTCCATCGTCATCTCGAGCAGGGATCCACCTGGCCGGCCAGCCTCGTTGTGCTTCGACGGCCTTGACGGATGGCACAATGTATTCGCGAGACAGAGGCCTGATCTTCTCGCCGCATGCCTTAGGCGCCGGTTGAGGCGATGCGCTCGCGCTGTATGGATCAAAACGTGCCAACTCTGCAACAAGCGAGGTATGTCACGCGATTTAATAACATTCTGGCTATCACGCGTTATCGTAGCCCGTGCCGATTGGGAGCGGGCAGCGCTTAGGGGGTGAGTGGCTCCCCCTGAGATTGTTGGGTTTATAGCACAAATTAAAAATTAAATTGTAATCTATAAAAGGAATTGTCGTAGTCGAGCAATCGCCAATGTTGTACATGTACTGCAAAGTGCCCCTTATACATGTTCCTGCCGATCTATCACTTTCCAAATTTTTGGTGGACCAGTACCCCGAGACTCCGCCCAATGTTCTCATCCCCCTCGCGTTGAAATCCTGGATCCGCCGACTGCCCCACCGCCCTAGGAATTGTTCAAAGCCCACCGGTCGGCCTAGGTTCGATAACGTCTAAGTTCGCCACCGCCCAACTGGCTTGCATTTAGATGTAAAAACGGCTCGCCACAGGCCAAACGATTTGTATGGTCACATAGGAACAGATGCTAATAGCAATAATAAAAATAAAAGTAATTCTAATTTTAGAGTCTTTCTCTGAAGGGATGCCGGCTGTAATACCTGCGAGCAGACGTACGCGTAGACGAGAGATATAATGTCTCAATTCGAAATCTTTACAGAAGATTCCAATACGCCACGGCGACCGTCGAATGAAGCCCGGCATTACAAACCGTGCGGTCATAGGTGATACTTGGCAGAAGAGGATCTTGCCGCTATGGCGCTTCGGCTCGGAGCTAGGGAGAGTGTGTTTTCCACCGTGGACCCCCCCCCTCCTCCAGCAAACCTCCTGAACCAAGATGAGACTTTTTCTTGTAAGCCCCTCTGACGCCCGTGCATGGGGATCACGAAAATAAATCTCTTCATTGCGTAAGTTGGGTCGACGACAATATCGGTTATGACGTTGCGCAATCAAGAGAATGCTGCCATCATCGGGACAGATTTTACCCAAAAATATCATATAAGTCGTTGATGTGTTTTCGATCAAAGTATTAAATCAAATGAGCGGTATTCAAAATGGACGGGCCGCGATTATTTTGTAATAACAAACACATCTATTAACCAAAACATAGCAGACTCAATATAAAAAGTTTTATTTCAAAAATGAATTTATATCAATTTTTGAGGTCAAAATTAAAAATGTAAGTGCTTCGAGCGGAAAGATCGCAGAGATGCAGGCGGCGGTCGTGGTATGGAATGCTCGTTGGGAATATCATACCACATGCTTCTCGTCAAGGTCGAAGATGAGAACAACAGTCATCACAGCAGACGATCTGTTGTCAGTTCTAGCGGCACTGTCTGTATGTCTGTCTAGTCGTCAATTCTCGTCAGTGCGTTCGTTTTTCATCATCCTATTCCCCATCCATGTATCGCCATCCTCCATGTATCCATCCCATCATCCAATGCCATCCATCCATCCATCTATCCATCATCCATTCCATCCAATCCATCTATCCAGACCATCCATCCATTCATGTGCATCTCATTCCTCACTCCATCCATTCTGGCAGCCATCCATCCATCCGTTCCAGCCATCATCCACCCACCTCAGCCTTTCGATCCATTCTATCATATCCATCGATTTATCTATCCTATACTATTATCTATCTAATTCTATCTATCTATTCTATCATTTTATCTATTCTATCTATTCTCATCTATCTATCTGATCTATCTATTTATCTATCTTTTATCTATCTATCTATCTGGTCTATTCTGTCTATCTGATTGAATCTATCTATCAATCCATCTTTCATCCCATCCACCTCAATCCATCGCTATCATCCACTCCAACTCCAATCATCCATTCCATCCCATTTCCATCATCCATCCAGTCTCATCCATTCCGAATCACATACCACTCCATCCCATCCATCCATCCATTCCGATCCATCACATCCATCCATCAATCCCCATCACTCCATCCATCGCATCATCCATCCACTCATTGCCATCCATCCATCCATCCTCCATCCATCCATCCATCGCATTCCATCCAAATTCCATCCATCCAATCCATCCATCATCCGATCCAATCCCACTTATCCATTCATCCAGTCCATACAGTCCATCCATCCATCCATCCATCCATCCATCATTCTTCCATCCATCCCATCCATCCATCCATCCATCCATCCATTCATCCATCCAGCCATTCATCCATCCTTGCAGCCATCCATCGCATTATCCATCCTTTTGGCAGCCATCCATCATCTTCCAGACATCCATCACCCACCCAGCCTTTCAATCCACTATCTATCCATCGATTCCTAATCTGGTCTTAACTCTGTCTTATTCTATCTATCTAGTCTATATCTAGTCTACTATCTAATCTATCTATCTATCTATCTATTATCTATCTATCTATCATATCTGTCTATTATCTATCTATCTATCAATCCATTCTATTCAGCCTCATCATCTACGTCCCTATCCATCCATCATCGCCACTTTTCGTCCATACCATCATACTGATCATTCCATTCCATCCTCCATCCATTCATCCATTAATCCTCCATTGTATCCATCCCTTCAATGCCTCCTGCATCACTGCAGTCTCCATTCCATCCATGCTTCCATTCCATCATTCCATCATGTTTATCCTGGTGAAGCCATCCATCCATCGGCTTCCGTGATCGATCATCCACCCACCCACCAGCTTTATCGCAGCTCATCACATACCATTGTTTATCCATCCGATCATGCATCCTATCCAATCCATCCATTTTACCATCCATCCATCCATCCATCCATCCATCCATCAATCCATCCATCCATCCATCCAATCCATCCATCCATTTATATTCCATCCATCCATCCATCCATCCATCATCCATCACTCCATCCATTCCATACCATCCATCCGATCCTATCCATCCATCCATCCACCTCCGAATCCATCATCCATCCATCCATCCATCCATCATTCATCCATCCATCCACTGCCAGTCTTCATCCATGCATCATTTCTCTTACCATGTGCATGCCATTGCATTGCATGCATGGCATTCATCTCAGTTCCATACATCCATCCATCCATCCATCATTCCCATCATCAATCCATCCCTCCATCCATTCCCATCATCGCATCCATCGCATCCATCTTATGCATCCACTTCTCATCCATCCAGGCCAGGTGGCATCCATCCATTCATCCATTCGCATTCATGCAGTCAGTTTATCCTATCCAGTGCATCCATCATCCATCACTCCATCCACTGCAGTACATCCTTTCCAGCCATTAACCATCCACACACCCGAGCCCTGTTCATTCATCTATCCTATCATCTATCCATCTATCTAATCTATCTATCTATCTATCTATCTATCTATCTATCTGTCCTATCTATTCTGGTCTTCGTGTCTAATATCAATCCATGCCAGTGCCCCCATCCATCACATCTCCATCTACGATACAGTAGAATCCATCGCATCCAGTGCATCCACCTGCATCCATTGCATCCATTCATCCATTACATCCATTGCATCATTCCATCCATCCATCCATCCACCACCCACCCACCCCTCTCTCTCGCTCTCTCTCCTCTCTCTCTCTCTCTCTTCTCTCTCTATGCTCTTCTCTTCTCTCTCTCCTCTCTCTCTCATCTCTTTTTCTCTTTTCTCTTCTCTCTCTCTTCTCTCATCTCTCTCTCTCTCATCTCTCTCTCTCTCTCTCTTCTCTTGCTCCCTCCCCTCTACTCCGTGCTCTCTCTCCTCTCTCTCCTCGTCTACTCTTCCTCTAGCTCTCTCTCTCTCTCTCATTCCTGTCTCTCTCTCGCTCTCTCTCTTTCTCTCTCTCTCTCTCTTCTCTCTCTCTCTCTCGTCTCTCTCTCTTTTATCTCTCTCTCTCTTTATCTCTCTCTCTCCTTCTCTCTCTCGCTCTCTCTCTCTCTCGTCTCTCTCTCTCTCTTCTCTTAGTTTTCGCTCCTCTCTCTCTCTCCTCCTTCCTCTCTCTGCTCTCGGTGCTTTCTCTCTTTTTCTCTTTCTCCTCTCTCTCTCTCTCTCTCATCTCTCGCTCTCTCTCTCTCTCGGCTCTCTCTATCTCTCTTATCTCGTGCTCGTTCGTGTCTTATATTCTCTCTCTCTCTCTCTCTTCGTCGTCTTTTCTCTCTCTCTCTCGTCTCTCTCTCTCTCTCTCTTTCGTCTCTCCTCTCTTACTCTTCTGCTCTCTCTTGCGTGTGCTATTGTTTCTCTTTCTCTGCTCTCTCTGTATGACTGTTAATCACTCTTCTCGAGTTATTTCTGGGCCCTATGTCCCTTTTCTGTCCATTGATCTTCTTTTCTGCTCGTCAGACGCCTCCATTATTAGAATCATGGTATCTCTAATTTGACGCATCAACCCTTCACGTTTTATTGTCCACATGGGAAATTCATAGTTGGTTTGCTCTATGAGGACAAAAGCGAGATGGTGAAGCAAGACAGGTTATCTGGATTGACAATATGTACCTCACGATGACGATGAACTCTGTGTTATTTAGATATTTAGACCACAGAATACTTGGCAATTATGATTGATATGACTGTTGTATATATTTTAACAGTTGTGATACACAGCCGATTATGAACAAAATAGGTGGTGGTCGTTCAGACCGTTCTCACATAGTGTGAATAAAACAGTTTATGAATCATGACTATGGTTTGTTTCTTTCTGCAGAAGAAATTTGACCCAAAAATAATTACCGCATTATTTGCTGATCGAAAATTTTGAATTTATATGTGTACATCAAATCTGGCCGCACACTCAATTCAGTGTTTTCTGGAGGATATGTATCTTTTAGTTATATTCCTCACTCTTGTTTTCGTTAACGTTTTAGATAATGTGTCTTTATCTATTGCGGTCATTCGTATTGATAAAACACTCATTTGCTTTGATTTGATCGAAAAGGAATAAACGATGATCTATTTATGATTTTGGTAACCTTTCACATTTTTAATGGACGGCCATCTTGATGATCGTCATAACCGTACGTTCGTACCCAACTTACGCAATGTTCAACATCTATTTTCGTGATCAGAGGCGTCATGGGGCTTGCAGAAAAATATTGGTTCGCGGAGAGCATGGGAATAGGTGCTGATCTGCAGGGTAGATGGGAATAGGTGCTGATCTGCAGGGTAGATGGGAATAGGTGCTGATCTGCAGGGTAGATGGGAATGGTAGATGAGAGAGATGTCGATGGAGGAGAAGGAGAAGGAACTGCACGTAAGCACACGCTGGGGAGGGGAGGAGGGTCGTCTGCTCAGGGTAGATGGGAATAGGTGCTGACCTGCAGGGTAGGTGAGAATAGGTGATGACCTGCAGGATAGAGGTGTGGACATGCAGAGTTGATACCACAATTCATTAAGGCGCATTTCATCGATAAACCTAATCTCTCTCGCTGTGCCCACATTTAAACATGGCATTTCCTATACTTTCTGCCGCGCACGTCTGAAAGCTACCTCCTCTGCGCGCTCGCACACTCGCCCTAATTCTCCCCCTCTCCACCACTCTCCCCCGCCACGCAGCCTACATTAAATATGGCGTTTGCACTCGCCCTAACATGTCTAAATCTCTCTCCCCTCTCTCGCCCCCACCACAGGAGATCTATGTGCAGATCATTGACCGAGACAACTTCGTCTGGAAGGGCCACGAGCCGCTGACGCCCAAGGACGGGCCGCTGAAGCTCGCCGCCGGCTGCCAGCCCCTCACCGTCATGCAGATGACGCCTCCCGCAGCCTGCACCGCGCTCGCGCTCAGCAGCGAGTACGGACTCGTCGCAGCGGGCACCGCGCATGGACTCACGCTCTTCGACTACGTGCAGAAGAAGGAGGTGCTGTCGCGCTGCACGCTGGAGGCAGGCGCGGGCGAAGCCGGCACGCCAAAGCGGAAGAATTTCCGAAAGTCGCTGAGGGAGTCGTTCCGGAGGCTGAGGAAGGTGCGGCTGAGGAAGGCGCCCGCCGCGGAGGACGCCGCCGCCGGCGAGGAGAAGCGCGCAAAGAAGGAGAAGAAGGAGAAGGAGAAGAAGGAGGAGAAAGTGAGGTGAGTCTTGCGATTTTTTTTTAATTAGAGATTGTTATTTCTCGTATGGAAATGATGAAGCTGTAATCAGATTTGCTTAATTCATTCACAACTGTCTCATATTTTCCATCGTCTTCGTTTTGCATTCCAGCGAGGTTAAGGAGAAGAAAGAAGAAACAAAAGAAGAGACAAAGCCCGAGGAAAAGAAGGAAGAAGAAAAGAAAGACGAGGACAAGAAGGAGGAGACTAAAGAGGCTGAGCCAGCTTCTGTTGAGCCAGCAGAAGAGACCGAAACACAGGCATCCACAGAGACAGCAGAGGTTACTGCAGAAGAAGCCCCGGCCACAACGACGGCTGATGAGAAGAAGGGAGAGGAGGTAGAGGAGGCGAAACAGAAAGGTATTACATTTCATCACCGTATAGGTGGCATGGGAATATATTTTCCTGCTTGCCAATTAACTACCCAGGCTGTGTGTTTTACTTTGTTTTAATTAAGTTAATGATTGACTCAACAACATTGCTGGTTTTTCAGACGAGGAGAAGAAGGAAGAAGAAGGGGAGAAGAAGGAGGAAGCTACAGAGGAAGCTACCAAGCCTGAAGAACCCAAGCCCGAGAGGTATTATATTATGACTAGCTATACCCAACGTTACATACGCAGCCTAGCGTATCTCTTGGGTGTTCCCTAGACTACGCAGCTTCTACCCATCCTCTGCCTTCTCCCCATCCTCTACACATTTTCCTCTTTACATTCTCCCCTAATCTATTCCTTTTACTCTTCCTCCTACATCTCCCAACATACTCCACCTTCCTCCTCCTCTTACTCTTCCTGCTACATCTCCTTTACCTCCTCTTCCTTCTCCTCTTCCTCCTACATCTCATTTACCTCCTCCACCTTCCTCCTCCTCTTACTCTCTTCCTCCTACACCTCATTTACCTCCTCCACCTTCCTCCTCCTCTTACTTTCTTCCTCCTACACTTCATTTACCTCCTCCACCTTCCGCCTCCTCTTACTCTCTTCCTCCTACACCTCCTTTACCTCCTCCACCTTCTGCCTCCTCTTACTCTCTTCCTCCTACATCTCATTTACCTCCTCCACCTTCCTCCTCCTCTTACGCTCTTCCTCCTACACCTCATTTACCTCCTCCACCTTCCTCCTCCTCTTACTCTTCCTCCTACACCTCCTTTACCTCCTCCACCTTCCGCCTCCTCTTACTCTCTTCTTCCTACACCTCCTTTGCCTCCTCCACCTTTCTTCTCCTCTTCCTCCTACATCTCTTTTACCTCTGCTACCTTCTGCCTCCTCTTACTCTCTTCCTCCTACACCTCATTTACCTCCTCCACCTTCCTCCTCCTCTTACGCTCTTCCTCCTACACCTCATTTACCTCCTCCTCTTACTCTTCCTCCTACATCTCATTTACCTCCTCCTGTTACTCTTCCTTCTACGCCTCTACCTTCCTCCTCCTGTTACTCTTCCTCCTACACCTCCTTTACCTCCTCCACCTTCCGCCTCCTCTTACTCTCTTTCTCCTACACCTCATTTGCCTCTTCCACCTTCCTCCTGCTCTTCCTCCTACATCTCCTTTACCTCCTCCACCTTCCTCCTCCTCTTACTCTTCCTCCTACATCTGCCTAGCATACTCCACCTTCCTCCTCCTACACCTTCTTTGCTTTCTCCACCTTCCTCCTCCTCCTCCTCCTCTTACTCTCTTCCTTTCTTTCTAGAACGGGTTGCAGTATACATGATAGGTCTTTTTATCATGTTTTGCTGGTGTAATAAGAGTGCAATCTGATGCTGATCACAGTGCTGTGTCTGTTGTCTGTTGTTGTTGTTGTTGTTGTTGTTGTTGTTGTTGTTGTTGTTGTTGTTGTTGTTGTTGTTGTTGTTATTATTGTTGTTGTTGTTGACTGTTTGATGTGCGTTTTGCAGCAGTAAGGTGGAAGAGGAAGCCAGACCGAAGAGCCCGGAGAAGACAGAGGCGAGAGAGGACGAGGGCATGCCGTCGGTCGTGCGCTGCCTCTGCATCACTAGAACATTCCTCGTTAATGGTCAGTGAGCGCGTTGTTAGCTTGAACATTTATATTGATGGATAGATAGATGGATGAAAGGCTGGGTGGGTGGATGGATGGCTGGAAGGATGGATGGATGGAGGAATGGATGCCTGAATGGATGGATGGTCCGGATAGATGGATGGATGGATGGATAGATGGATGGATGGATGGATGGATGGATGGATGGATACATGGATGGATGGATACATGGATGGATGGATACATGGATGGGTGGATGGATGGATGGAAGAACGGACGCACTGACGAATTGACGGATAGACAGACATACAGACAGTCAGGCAGACTGACAGACAGATAGTCTGTGTTGATGACTGTTGTTTCATCTTCGTACCGACGAGAGCTGTGGTGATTCCCACGAGCATTCCTATCAACCCGATGATCTGCGACTCCCTGAACACTTAAATTTTTAATTTTGATCTCAAAATTGATATAAATTCATTTTTTGGAAATAAAACTTTTTATATTAGTTTGTTTTGTTAATAGATGTGTTTGTTATTCTATTGCGGTCATTTTGATACCTCATTTGTTTAATTTGATCGAAAAATAACGATTTTATGATTTTTGGTAAATTTCCCTATGGCGGCCATCTTGATGACGTCATAACCGGAAGTTCGTCCCAACTTACGCAATGTTAACATTTATTTTCGTGATCAGGGCGTCATGGGGCTTCAGAAAAATATTGGTTCAGAGGTTTGTGGGGGGGGGGGTGCACGGTGGACCCTCCTAGCTCCCGGCCTAGCGGCATCCTTCTGCAGTTCTCCTATGACCGCAGTGACTTTCGTGCCGCTTCATTCGATCGATTAATTTTCTGTAAATTTTTCGAATTGATTACTCTCGCTACGTCTCCGCGTTATTACAGCGGCATCCAGAAAATTATAATTATTATTATTTTTATTATTGTATTAGCTCTGTCTATGTACATTACCACGTTATCAGGGCCGTGGGTTGAACAAATTCCTAGGGGGGTGGGGGGGCAGTGGCGGATCCAGGATTTCAAGGAGGGGGTGAGAAACAGTTGGGGGATCTGGGGGTCCTCCCACCAAAAATTTTGAAAATGTAGATCGCAGGAAATGGTATTAAGGGCACTTTTGAGTACATGTACAACATTCATTCTGACTACGACAATTCTCTTTTAGTAGAACAATTTATTTTTTAATTTTGCTCCAAAATCTAGGGGGGCAGCTGTCCCCCTCCCCGGCAGGCTACGGCCATGGTTATTAAATCCGTGCATGCGTGTTGCAGGTTGGCACGTTTGATCCGTACAGCGACGACCCGCGCCTAGGCATCCAGAAGATCAGCCTCTGTCTCGCGAACGCCATCCTCGCCGTCGGAGGCACTGCCGGCCAGGTGGTCCTGCTCGAGATGTCGATGGAGGAGAAGGAGAAGGAACTGCACGTAAGCACACGCTGGGGAGGGGAGGAGGGTCGTCCGCTCAGGGTAGATGGGAATAGGTGCTGATCTGCAGGGTAGATGGGAATAGGTGCTGATCTGCAGGGTAGATGGGAATAGGTGCTGATCTGCAGGGTAGTTAGGGAGCTTTAAGAAGGTATATAAGCTATCGAAAAGTAGATTGCATAGTGTCATGTGATGCACGCTAAAAAAATTAATGCTGCTGTGGGAGCACTATGCTCTCTAGTCTGCCCCAACAGCAGCGCCATTAATATATAAAGTTTCAAGTGCTAACAACGCGCTCACTGACCATTACGAGGAATTTCTTAGTGATCAGAGGCAGCGCCACGACCGCGGCATGCCCATTGTACTCTCTCTCGCCTCTGTCTTCTCCTGGGCTCTTCGGTCTGGCTTCCCTCTTCCACCTTACTGCTGCAAAACCGCACATCAAAACAGTCAACAACAACAATCATGAAATACACAACAACAACAACAACAACGAACCAAACAACAAAGCACACCCATCAACAACAGACCGAACAGACCAGCACTGTGATCAGATCACGATTGCACTCTTAGCTTACACCAGCAAACATATAAAGCAGACCTATCATGGTTACTCAACCGTTCTAGAAAGAAAGGAAGAGAGTAAGAGGAGGAGGCAGGAGGAGGAAGGTAAGGAAAAAGCAAGAAGTGTAGGAGGAAGGAAGGTGGCGTATGCTAGGAGATGTAGGAGTGAAAGTGAAGAGGAGAGAGGAGGGTGGAGGGAGCGTAGAAGGCAGATGTAGGAGGAAGAGCAGAGGAAGGTGGAGGAGGAAATGAGGTGTAGGAAGAAGAGAGTAGAGGAGGCGGAAGGTGGAGCGAGGTAAAGGGAGGTGTTAGCGCAGGAAGGACAGTAACAGGAGGAGGACAGGATGGATGGCGTAGAAGGAAGAGTAACAGGAGGAGGTAATAGATGAGTGAAGGAAGAGTAAGAGGAGGAGGTAAATGAGGTGTAGGTGAAGAGCGTGAAGAGGAGGAGGAAGGTGGAGGAGAGTAATGCAGTAGTGTAGGAGGAAAGAGTAGAGGAGGACAGAAGTGGCTAGCCCAGAGGTAAAAGAGATGTGAGAGGAAGAGGAGAATAAAGGTGGAGGAGGCAAAGGAGGTGTAGGAAGAAGAGAGATAAGGAGGCGGAAAAGGTGGAGGAGGTAAAGGAAGGTGTAGGAGAGGAAGAGTAGAGGAGGAGGAAGGTGTGAGAGGTATATGAGGGTGTAGGAGGAAGAGCGGTAAGAGGAGGAGGAGTGCGAGGAGGTTAATGAGATGTATGCGAGGAAAAGGAGAGTAAGAGGAGGCACAGAAGGTTGAGGAGGTAAAGGGAGGTGTAGGAGGAAGAAGAGTAAGAGGAGGCGGCAAGTGGAGGAAGGTAAATGAAGGATGCTAGGATGGACAGAGGAGGTTGTTTAAGAGGAGGAGGAAGGTCGAGAGAGGTAAATGGAAGTGTATGAGAGGAACAGTAAGAGGGCGGAAGGGTGGAGGGAGGTAAAGTGAGGTTAGGAGGAAGAGCCCGTAAGAGAGGAGGAAGGCTGGAGAGAGGTAATGAGATTAGGAGGAAGAGAGTAGAGGAGGCAGAGGTGAGGAAGTAAAAAGAGATGTAGGAGGAGAGAGAAGAGAGGTGGAGGAGGCCCAAAAGCGAGGGTAGGAGGAGAGGTAAGAAGGGTAAATGGAAGTGTTAGGAGAAGAGTAACAGCAAGGAGGAAGTGGAGGAGGTAATGAGATGTAAA